TAGCTCTTCAGCACTCTGGGGTTTTGTCTTAATTTTTTTTCCTCAAACACCAAACTTTCTTGATACACAAAAGGAGCTTTAAAATAATTTAGTATTATACCATCTAAAAAAAAACTTTTTTTAATTTGGGATCTAAGAAAACCTTGCCCTCCTTTATATCATTTTATCTTCAGGATTTTAAAAAATCTTTCTTTGTATTATCTGTGATCTAAGACACAGCATCTTTTATTGCCTGTACTCTCTTGTACCGTTTAAAAAGACTGAAAAGCATGTCAAACCCATATCTGTGAGACAGCTACAATAGTTAGGCAGCATTTTGTGGGATGAAAATAAACAAGAAGGCTGTTGTTGTTTTCTATAACAGATGGAGGGAACTCAGGGTGTTAGCTAAACCTTACTCCAGGAATTAAGATGCACTCTCTGGCTTCTTTTCTGACACAGTGCTCTGCTGTTTCAGACGCAATTTCCAGACAAGATTTGATGTTTTAAGCTTAGAAGTGCTCTTGTATTTACCAAAGGGCGCACAAGTTTGTGTATGTTGCACTTGTTATATCTTTCTGCGGTACTATTGTAGACTTACTACTAAGAAACAGTATAACTACTTTACTACAACAAACAAATTGTTGATTTTATGATCCTTTATTAACTATTTAAGAATTATAACTAAGCAGCTGACCTCCAGTGACATAAAATCTCTACCCCGAATAAATACAATAACTACTGCATATACTGTATAGTCATTTGCATTTTAGCTAGAGTTTCCTAACATTTTACTCTATTAAAGTGTACGGTACTGCCAGTGTTCAGAGGGACCGAGTTCTCACCACTAAGGGGAGTTTAACATCTAAAGAATAAATGGAGCTCACCATTTTTTTCTTGAATCAATTCATACAAATAGACAACCTTAGCACGAAAGGTTTGCTAAGCTACTGTATTTCACTATCTAATATACATTACAGTTCTCCCTTAAAATGATTAGCATGAGTTTGTGATGGATTTGTGGTTCAGTAAACAATTAAGCTGGGGTAGCTGTAGGATCCTTTTCTCGATTTCTTAATTACTATCTCAAGCCATGCAGAGCTGGGGACCTGGGTTCAATTCTGGACCTGTGGCATTATTTGTGAGGAGTTTGTCTGTTCTCTGTCTCTGTCTGGGTATCCTCTGGGTGCTTTGGTTTCCTTCAAGAACATACTGGTACTTGCAGTCTGCCCTGCAATGGACTGGCATCATGTCCAGGGTATACCCTGCCTTGCGTCTGTTGCTTGCTGGGATAGCCTCCAGCTCCCCCATGGCCCTGGATTGAAAGAAACTGTTAGAAGCTATTATATGCTTTGAGTATAATACAGTATCTCATATACTAGTTTTATGGCTATGTTTTAGTAACTTAAGTGGGAACTCTGAGCTGAGCTTGAAACTTTGTTATGGACACAAATTTAGATTGTACTATGCCTAACACTACATCAATCCCAAATACAACCCCAACTCAGGAGTGGAAGCTGCGTAAGTAATCCTAATAAAATATCACTTTGAAACAGCCCTGACTTTTAAGGGCACTCTCACACTAAACATACTGTAACACAACTGTAAAACCACCCATGGTCCAACTGCTTCCTTAACCTTTAACTGCTATGGAGCTGAATTACTCACAGAATTTAAATTGATTAATATGGATTACTCCCCCTACCACTGAGACATTTTGAAACCTTTGTGACTAGGAAGTTATACAGCAAGCAGAATAATTCTGAACTGCCTTCTCATTCTGAACTGGCAAGAGATGCTGGTCAAGGCTGAGGGAATGTGGAGGTTCCTGTTTGTACCCACTCTTTGGACAGAAATTGCAGTGCCATGTCTGTCAAGTATATTATCTTAAGAATAAATGTCTGTTTGCTTTCTTGTGGCCAAAAACTTTTATTTGGTAGTTTTTTTTTTTTAATAGCACAACTAATTTACACAGAATAACAAAGAAAACTGGAAAACTTTCATTAAAACTTGAAAACATGAAGTAGAGAATGTCTTCTGCTGCTCAACATCAGCAGCGTTTAACACCCATGCAAGACTTTGCTAAAACAAAGTTTTAAATTAGCCAATTCCCCTCTGTTACATCATTGGGCAGCAAATCCTGACTTTGTTGCTGAAGGCTGGTCAGTGAAAAAGAGAGATCTAAAGAGACTGAATGCCTTCCAGAATGCCTGACAGCTTCAGCCTGTCAGATCATTTTCCCATCACCTGGCCAAGTCAGCTGGAGTGTTTGCAGAGGAAGATTAACTTATTGCTATGTTCTGGGGAAACAAAAGACACTCAGAGTATAAACTGTTGCCCCAGTATTCTCAGCACAGATCTGAACAGAAAAAGTGCTAGATTTGAATCCTATTACTGGTGCAAAGGTAAGGAAGGAAGAAATCAGTGTAAAGACTGCTAGACCTGCAACATTCCTGAATTCCAAATGGAAGAAAGCTTTTCAAAACATTTTGACTCCATCCTTGTTTTCTTTTAAGCTTAAAATCATTGCAAAGTTAGACAAACTTGTGGTCAAGCATAGTCTGGTAAGAGTATCAAACCACAAAACCCCAGTTGTGGTATGATGTGATAATTTACTGAATGTCAATGGTTCGCAATAAATATATATTTTTGGTATACATTTTGAGAACAAAATCATGTAAAGACAGAAACTACCATGTGTAATGTAGATCAAGTATAGAAATTGTACTAAGAAAGATCAGTGGATGTCAGTTCAACATATTTCTTGACTGCTTTATAAATGAGAAGTGTTCATCTGACAATAAACAAAATTACAGTAAAAGGCCTTTATTAAGAAAGGTTTTTTAAAGATGAAAGAAGGTGTAGCCTAAGAGAAAACATTCAAATTTGCATTTATGTTTGCATTTTGTAGCTGATTGTTAAAGTACTGATGAGAGATACCTTACCCAAAAAAGGCCTGGGATGCAAAAGTGAACCTAGTGAAATGAATACAGGTAGGTAATCGGTCCTGAAACAAATATTGCCCTGTAGAAGACCTGACAGCTTACAATATCAAACTAATTATTGCTTAATGATGCAGCAACTTTGTTTAATGTTGTTGCACACTACAAACAGAAAAACAAATACAACTCTCTTGTACACACAGCACATTTCCTCGCACCTAAGGCCTTAAGACTTACTGAGCTGTAAAACTGCTGGACAGGAAGATTTAATCGCACAAATTCCTCAGAGCTATGACAGCACATCCAATGAAGTTACCAAAAGCCTAAAGGGAAAAATGTCCAAGTGGCTAGGGGTGGTGCAAGAAAACAGAAACTGACTGGGTTTCATCCTAGAATGTTTCATGCCAACACTGATGGAAATGCTCTAGGCCTACAGGATTGTTGAACTTTGTTGAAAAAGGTCTATTTTTCAGTCCCGGTAAGCAAAGCTGAAGATGTATCTTTAAGGGAAAAAACCTTGTGATCTGTAAGTATTAAAGATATTCTTTAACATATTTCATTATATTCTGGGAGCCTTGAGTGCTTATATGTATTTTCCTCAGCTTCATTAAGCACCAAGCTTCTTCTTTCTAGTCTGCAAGCAAGTTATGGAAATAACACCAAGCTACCAGACTCTTTTGATATTGTTGTTGTCTTTTTTAGGGCTAGCAGGCATCTCACAGTGTTCATTTTGAGACATGTAATCCATCATAAAATAAATAATTTTAAAAGAACCCTGCACCTATTATTCATTTTTTTCACCACCCCCTCCCCTATTCCTCAAGCCCATCTACACCATAAAATTAATTTACTGGAGTCTAACATGCTACCTCTGCAACTGGGAGGAAGGTAGCAGAGTTGCCTTTTCAGAGGAATGTCTCAATTAAGACCCTGTGGTTTCTCAAAATCAAATCAATACTCCACAGGGCTGATTTCCCAGTGATTAATTATTGCTCAGCTGTTTGAAATGACCCAGATCCAAGGCTGTTATTTACTGTTAAAGGGGTTGCTTGGGTTTTGTGTTTATGATTTCCTTTTCCAAAAGGTTGTTTCTGGGGTTGTGTGTTTAATAGAACAAATGCCTTCTAAGGGGGATAAGGCAGTACTGCTTTATGAAACCTTTCACCCTTACCAAACCAGAAATGGGTCTGCATGATGAAATCCTTTTCACTGTTAATTGCACACTACTATTTTGACCATTACACCCTTGTACCCCTTTGTAAGGGTCTTAAATTCTAAAAGGGGGAGGGGGGTTCACATATTTCTTATATTTCATCATCAGATCTTCTAAACCCTACCACTGGTGTAGAACACGTTGATCAGAAGAAGGGAAAGCATGCAAGATGAAAGATGACCCTGGATTGTAATAGAACACTTCCACTTGTAGTATGATGGAAGTTCATTTTTCACTTGAACAAATACAACATGGACTCAAACAGCTCACCACAGTAATGTATTGCAGAGTTGGTTGTCTGATTTTTTTAACTACTAGTTTGCCATAGGCTGAGCTGGACTCTAACAGGCTGTTGTTTTTCACTTGTGCACTGAAAAAAGTGTCTGAAATGTGTCTGAAACAAATTTTATTCAGAATCGTTAATATTTTAGCACACTTTAATGGTGGTTTTGTTGGTTTTATAGTTAGTTAATTTCAGAATGGTGAATCGCACAGAATAGGCTTTGAGTCCACACCCTTAGAAGAGTTCAAGATTATGGAGCTCTCACTGTCTGCTTGGCACCATGCTGTACCTGGACATTTCCAATGAATACTTTTTTTTTAACTTCTGTAAAATAATTAGTCACTTTTTCATCTTTGATCTTAGGGGGTGCTTCCTTTTTCATAAGCTGATAGCTTTTTGGAATTTATATTTGGAAAAGCAATTATATATAGAGTATTTCTTTTATAAGGGCTGCAAAGCAATGACAGAAAGGTGCTCAATGCACATATACTTTAAGCCCTCATTTGTGGCACTGCAGGCATCCCCAATCCAACTGATCTGTCTTTACATTACCTCTTCACCTGAAGTCTTTTCTTTGCCTCAGGAAATGCATGGCAGCTGACTTGCTGAAGAACAAGACACACATCACTGTCTGCTAGACAAGGTACAGTACACAAATCTGCAAAGCATGTTAAAACAAAATAACTTTTAATACACCTTTAATACATTTGTTCATTCTGACCTGCTGTTCTAAGGTGTGCAGAGGCCTGTCACAAAATAATAAGGCTTTCAGCATAAATTCAAGAGCAAGTCACCAGCCTGTTTTCTGGGTTATTCCCAGAAGACTCTGACAGTGATGTTTTGTAGGGTACTGAGCCCCAGAAGATTAAAACAAACTAGAGGAAAGTAGGCTTTGTGATTTCTTTTCTTTGGTGTAATAGAAGCAAACACCAAACTGCTTTCAAACTATTCTGTTTTAAAATTGTATGAGTGTCTTGCCTGATTTTATAGAAAAATATCCAACATCCTTAAAATTGGAGAGGCTGGTGATGAGAGAAATGTCTATGAGCATGTATAGAGTGGGAAGATTGAGAGCATATTCTGCATCATTGCACATCATTTTAACAAATATTTTAATTTTATTTTCACAATTTCAGAAATTTCATTGGTGGGCACAAAATGCCAGCTGGAAAAGCTGGAGAGTTTAACTGTAGTGGTAGATGGCTTCTTCATTTACTCATCAGCCATACTCAGGAATCTGGAAGTCATACTTGATCCCCTCCTATCTTCTGAGCTCCACATGAAAACTTTGATTAAGACCTCTTTTTTTACTTTAGAATTATTACCCATATTAGGTTATTCCTACCAATGTCTGATGTTTACTGCTTGATTCATGCATTTATAACATCAAGGCCTGATTTCTGCAACTCTTGGACTCATGAACACTCTTCTTAGCAAGATGCAATACGTCCAAGACTCTCCAGCTAGGCATATCACTCTTTCACTTAAATATCTACATTGGTTTCATATAAAGTAATGCATTAAATATTAAATCTTGTTCCAAACTTTTGCCAGTTGTGAGTTGCAGGGTGATATGGCTGCTGGCTCATTCACAGTACATTTACTGTACTTTTAATGTGAGTACCACTTTAATTCTTAGAACATGAATACTTTTCAAATCTTCAAATCAAAAGTACAGTTTTTGCTCAGTTTCCTTTTATTGCAACACTGTTTACACTAAAGTAGAAAACAGAATTTTCAATATAATTGAAGGGGACACTTAAGCCCACTCAATTGCAATACTAAACAAACAACCACAAATACAAAGCAGGGGGATTTACCAGTTTTTATGTTTAGTTTAAATATGAGACATCATACTTTGTATTAGTAACCCCCTGATGTAAAAATCCAGGGTGTTTGGTACACAGGTAACAATTGTCCATTACTGCAGGATCACAAAAGTCAACAGGGCTTTGTAGAAGCAAGTAAGAAGTGTGGTAGTCAATTTCACAATGATCTGTATGGTCAGCACCAAGCAAAACACTTAACTTTCAACAATAGCTCAAGATACCGTACAGAATCGTGAGTTACCAGAGATGGGTAATTCCAATGTTCTGTAGTGGACTGATATTTTAAGAAAAATTAAACATGTTAATCATATTATATATTGTCTTCAAACATTCTGTCCTTTGCAGACTGCTTCACACTTTTTTTCAACAGACAAAGGGAAGATTAAGAAATTTCACAGAAAAATAAAACACCACCCAGCTGTCAGCTTTTAATTCTTATGTTTTTACAGTTTCAGATCACTGGTGGCCAGTGCCAACATGCTATAATCCCCACACAATAAGTCCAGCAGTCCTGAGCAAGATGCTGGAGTTGAAAATGGATGCCCAGGAGAGTTACACACAAAGAAGGCTAACATTGTCCAGTCCAGAAGCCGAGCCAGTGCTTCTGTAATTGCATGAGGAATGTGAAAATCCAATTCCAATAAAGCAAATATTTTCATCTTTTCAACTTGGGCAGTTGATTCCTGCTTTTCATTAGCTAATAGACAGCTTCAAAGGGCAATCTAAATGCTGTGTAGTTGTGTTTGTGTTTGTGTTTTTCTGAAGCTCTGTTTTCTAGAGCTTCAGAAAAACACCAGAAGAGATCTGATTGCATTTGCACCATCCAACACCCAACATTATATAAAAGAATGATTTCAATAATATATATGATCCTTGAAAGACTACAACCACATTTGTTTCTATAGAAACGTCAACTGATTTCTTTCTGTCTTTTTACTTGATCTTGATCTTTGACTTCTTGTCATTTCATTTTACTTCTCACAGCTGTTAAACTGCAAGTAAAGAATACAAGGTGAGACTTCTGAGCAGGGCAATCAAAGGTCTTATAACCCCTTTTCTTGCTAATTTCAAATTGAATTTATCACACCCTGTATTTTTAGGAAAAGCTATTGTCATAGCTATTGTCAATCACAATCAGAATCCAACCCTACGCAACTCCCGCAATTGAACCCGCATTATTCCTAATAAGACTTCAGTCTTATCCAATTTCTGCAAACGCCACCGTATTAACTAATCAACCAATCCATCCTTTCCTTTATCACTGCACCCACTACATCCTGGAATACTTAAACCCTCACCACCTTCACCTCAAAGCTTAGTATTGGTTTACACCAAGTGGAGCTCCTCGTCTCTGTTTTGAGATTTCCTTTTTAAGTTCTTGGCTTCTGAACCTTTGGCTTCCTGACTAGCGAACCCGTATTTGACCACGACTTTTGAACGCGATTTGGATAAGTAAACTAAGATTCCCTTTGCTTTCATTGAGATCTATTAGTCACCGTGTTGGGTCCTATAATTCATCTGGCTTAAGTGACGTAAAAATATTACCATTGTTTTTCTCTATTTTACACTGTACTGAATTACAACTGTGCATTATTATCACTAAGTGAAGTTTCAATGATAACTTTTTCAAAACTAAGTTTATTTTGTAAATGCACAGCTACTGTCCACGGCATAAATTGAGATAACACCACTAATAGCAGCATCAGTCCATCTCCAACAGCGATTACAGCTGCATCACATCACAACGCTGCTTCTGTTAGATGTTCACAGAGATATGAGAACACTCAGCTAGCAGCAGGTAATGCATCTCTACCTGTCATGTGTGCAGTAGTTCAGTAGCTTCCTGGAGTCTGAACTGTGCTTTCTGTTGGTGTGTTTCACATCTGCCAGCCACTGCCACTAAACTAGAGAGTGGCTTCAGTAATGCATCTGTGATGCAAACACCAGCTGTCTTGTCACTTGTGAGGTCATTTCTGTTATTCTATTCTAAGTGAAAGGTTATGAAACAAGTATACTTGTACTTAAAATTTCATGAACTTATATGAAACCATGTGCTTCCTAGACAAAATGTAACAAATTTAATGTTCACATATACTGTACAGTATATGGGAACAAAGTAAGAATTTCCATGAAATGTAAAGGAAATAATTCATCACTCAGGATGCCATAACAGCCCTTGAAAAGTCTAAAAAACTCTAAAAAATCTCTCACCTTTTAGAAAGAATATTTTGTAAAGACTAGAGATGTTAAAATATTTTGGAATATACAGTACATAGCTGAAAATGTATTTATAAGCTCTACAGCGCAAAACCCAAACCAACACAAACAACTTTACACTTACAGTATATAAGACAATATAAATATGATTATCCACATTTAAAAAAACATTATCTGTAGGAGAAAGAAGTCCAAAGGCATAGAGAGTGACACCTTTAATTTCAATAAACTTCATATCACAAAAGCTATTTATGTAACGATGGCTGGGTTGTGATGAAAGGATCCAATGCAGATGCAGGATTCCTGGGGCGGTGAGTAGGTGGACAGAGCTATCCAGGAGCTGGGTCGTAATCCGGAGGCGAAAGGTAGGTCAAGATCAGTAAACAGCACTGGTGGCGAACAATCCAAAACGAGAGACAGATACGTGGTCGGG